TTACTGAATGTCCACAGACCTTATATCAAATGGAACAAATTATCTTGCTCTTCCATACGGTGGCCTTTTGTAGGGTCTGTCTCTCAAAACTTCTCTAGAAAAATATCCAAGTTTCTACAATTATTTCTCACACAAGTATCATGTGTCCCTTATTGATTTTTGTTCCATCGCAAATTAATATAAATACCCTGAATTGCATAAGCTAAAGAAGACTCGAAGGCTAAGAAATACAGCGCACGACTTTCAAGTTAAAGAGCTGGAGCTGAACTACAAATGCACCTACTTTGTTCAGGAGCAACCTGATTTCTGTAATTCTAGTGTGAGTTACAAGCAGATAACACAGATATGTACACAACAGCAGAACCCAAGCCTCTCCCTTTAGCATGCTAAATAAAATTGAAAACCGAAAGATAAACCAACACAAAAGGGGTTAAAGTGAGACACTGACATTTGTTAGTTTTACCAGAACTTCAGAGACTAACTTTCACAATCCACAGATATACAGGAACCATAAATGTCCCCCAAGTAAGCAATGCTGTTTAATAAGCTGTGGAAAGATGACTCTGAGTTAATGTTGTTATCATAGAAACAACACTCGCCTGTGAAATCAGTGAGAGGGGCCAGAGAAAGGTGGGCTTGTCTGTTCTGCTAAAGGGTAGTGCCTGGGAGAAATGGGGAAATGTCTGAAGATGGACATACTAGCTGTAAGGGTGATATACTATTCTTATTCTAAAAGTTAATTTTTCCTGTGTTCCAGAGGCATACACTTAGTAAGGGACCTCGCTACTCTTTTAAAAAATAACTTTTAAACTGGAAATGATGAATTCCGTTTCTTCAAAAAGATTTGGGGAAATCTACCAAGCTCCCCTGAAGAACTAAGTTGGTCTCAGGTTGCATCCATGTATTGGAAAAGTCCAGACTCCCAACATGATCAAACAGACCGAGCAGCTGCTAGATGTCCGTTACACTAGAAAGGCGCATATCGGATGCAGTTCTCCTGGGAGCTTTGTAGCTAAAACGAGACTAGAAATCACATTCTGCCCTGTAAAGTAAATCTGACAGGCCCCAGCAGGGGGATAGACCTGTATTTAATAAATGAAAATTACTAAGCTCATTTCCTGCGCTTACTTTCTCCCATGTGCCCCTTCCTTGTAGGGCTACACATGATACTTGTTGGGCTTTTGGAGAAAAAGGGAGATTTGAAATGCAGAAATTATATTAGTTGTTTGACAAGGCATACGTTTCTTAGTAGGTACATACAACAAACTGTGTAAATGGTAAACTCCTGAGGGTAGAATTCTTTTGGCATAGGAAATAACATATGGGAAGCATTTCGTATATTCTTATTACTTGGTTATATTCAGCCAAAAAAAAAATCTTGGTGGCGTCCATCTCAAATCGAGAGAAACTGTTCATCTACCAAATGGCCATCCAGGCCATGGCCAAGAATGGTACCATCGTTTGAATCTAGGTCTTCACACTTTAACAAATACTATATTCATCTCATGACTAAAGAGTCACAGTGTTTTCTTAAATTCCATAAAATGAGAGCGTTATGTAGATGGTGTCTGAATTCTGAATCTGTCTTGGTAGATAAAAAAAGAAATCTTTGCAAATGAAGTCCTAGATTACCAAAACTGTAAAAATACCCCGACTTTCTACAAACAGATCATTGTTATGTTAACCTATGGGATTTTTTTAAATAGTCGTCACTGAAAATGAAGCTTGTAGGTTCCCTTGATCAAACAAACCCAACAGTAACAGATACTATTTCTTAGGAAGAGATGTCTCAGTTTAACGGTATTTTAACTGATCATTATCAACAGGGTCAGAGAAACCTTCCCAGAGGTAGTAATATTTGAGATGAGTATTAAAGAGTTCAACAAAATGAAAAGGGAGAGAGGCTATTCTACTCAGAGGGCTAGGACCGTAATTCTCAGTGTGTGGTTCCAGAACCAGCACATCAGCATCGCCCGGGAAGTTGCTAGATAAACTAACCCTACTTCATACTTAATGAATCAGAATCTCTGGGGTGGGCCCCAGCAATCTGTGTTTTAACAAGCCCTGTAGGTGAATTTTATGCACCCTAATATTGAGAACCACTCAGCTAAAAATTAGCAATTTGAAAGAAAACGCTGTGTTTGAAGGACCTCAAGCTCTTCAGTGCAGCTCAACTTCAGACAAAGTATGGACGGTGGTAAAGACTGAGGGTGAAAACATAGGGAACAAAAATCATTGGCTTAGGTGTAAAAACATGGTTATTATAAAAAGAGCTAGAGTTTGCATAATTTTGAGAGAGACCTCGCTTTTTCAAAGGTAAAAGTTAAAAAAAAAAAAAGAAAGAAAGGAAAAAGGAACAGTATTAAAAATTCTAAAGCTGCAATGCTTTTTAAAAATGTAATTTAACCTAGTGAAACATAGAGGGAATAAGAACATTTACATAACACTCTTGAAACTAAGGGGAAAACTAACTTAAAGCACAACTTTAAATATTGATAATTTGACAAATAAAAAAATAATCATAAAGAGACAGCTGGGTAAAGCCCTTTCTCCCATCCCTCCACTGGCATTCAACATCCCCCTGAAATGAGCCCTGAATACTTATCCAACTTATCCAATAGCCCCCACATCATCTTTCAAAATATCAGCTTTACTAAATTTACCAAAGAGGAAACTATTAAAAAGAAGTCAGTTCATAACAAGAATTGATTTCCACATCCCTGGGTCTTGGGGACGATGGCTGGGACTCCGTGCTCCTTCATGCTCCTTTGGGGCTGTCTTTAAACTACCACCGACTCACAGCCCAAAGACAAAGTGCTATGTGGGGAGGAAGGGGGGGAGGAAAGTTAAAGTAGTTGTCACCTTTGTCTTCACGTTGGCCTATCTGGCAGTTGATGTCATTTATTTTGTTGTTATTGGCAAGCAAATCACCCTACAAAAAATCTGCAATCTTGCCAAAATATATTTTTGCCTCTGATCATCTTAGCTGCCTTCCCATCTCCCACCTCCCAACAACTCTCCCGGCCCCCAAACAACGCGTACGGGACNGATCATCTTAGCTGCCTTCCCATCTCCCACCTCCCAACAACTCTCCCAGCCCCCAAACAACGCGTACGGGACACACACACGCGCGCGCACACGTGCACACACACACGTTTTAGGGTAAGGAAGGAGTATTACCATAATGTTTCCTACAAATGCCTCTCCTTTCTCTCCAAATTATAGGTAGCGAGGCCGGAAGTGCAATCACTTGAGTGAGTTTGGAAAGGTGGTTACAGAAATAATCTCAAAGACAGCAGTGCCTGCCGTGCAGTGAAACTCCCTTCGTAGCTGTCGGAGCCGCTTGGAACGGATCCACCTCCTGAGCCGGCCAACCCGGGTGCTGCGCCAAAGGCTGTGCCCATCTGCCAGTTTCCCAAGAACCCGCCCCACCCAGCTCATTCGGAACGGTGCTGAGAAAGCCCAGTGGCCTTTGGGGGTGACTGCTAAACAAGTCCTGAGGGAGGCCTGCGGAGGGGAGACGGCCTGTGCCAGGGCGTTTCTCTGGAACCCCATCCTCAGAGGCCTGGAATCTGCAAACAGCTCCACTGCCAGGTGTTCCCTCCTCAGCTCCACTGCCAGGTGTTCCCCCCTCAGCTCCACTGCCAGGTGTTCCCCCCTCAGCTCCACTGCCAGGTGTTCCCCCCTCAGCTCCACTGCCAGGTGTTCCCCCCTCAGCTCCACTGCCAGGTGTTCCCCCCTCAGCTCCACTGCCAGGTGTTCCCCCCTCAGCTCCACTGCCAGGTGTTCCCCCCTCAGCTCCACTGCCAGGTGTTCCCCCCTCAGCTCCACTGCCAGGTGTTCCCCCCTCAGCTCCACTGCCAGGTGTTCCCCCCTCAGCTCCACTGCCAGGTGTTCCCCCCTCAGCTCCACTGCCAGGTGTTCCCCCCTCAGCTCCACTGCCAGGTGTTCCCCCCTCAGCTCCACTGCCAGGTGTTCCCCCCTCAGCTCCACTGCCAGGTGTTCCCCCCTCAGCTCCACTGCCAGGTGTTCCCCCCTCAGCTCCACTGCCAGGTGTTCCCCCCTCAGCTCCACTGCCAGGTGTTCCCCCCTCAGCTCCACTGCCAGGTGTTCCCCCCTCAGCTCCACTGCCAGGTGTTCCCCCCTCAGCTCCACTGCCAGGTGTTCCCCCCTCAGCTCCACTGCCAGGTGTTCCCCCCTCAGCTCCACTGCCAGGTGTTCCCCCCTCAGCTCCACTGCCAGGTGTTCCCCCCTCAGCTCCACTGCCAGGTGTTCCCCCCTCAGCTCCACTGCCAGGTGTTCCCCCCTCAGCTCCACTGCCAGGTGTTCCCCCCTCAGCTCCACTGCCAGGTGTTCCCCCCTCAGCTCCACTGCCAGGTGTTCCCCCCTCAGCTCCACTGCCAGGTGTTCCCCCCTCAGCTCCACTGCCAGGTGTTCCCCCCTCAGCTCCACTGCCAGGTGTTCCCCCCTCAGCTCCACTGCCAGGTGTTCCCCCCTCAGCTCCACTGCCAGGTGTTCCCCCCTCAGCTCCACTGCCAGGTGTTCCCTCCTAGCCAGGCTGGAGGGTTTCAGGGACCGCTCAGCTGCTCTCACCTAAAGCACTTAGCCTTGCGGTCACAGGTCAAGGCTTCAGGGGGGCCTGTGTTCCTACAGCTCAGGCACAGGTGCCCGTGGGACACAGACCCTCCTCCCCACTCGGTCCCTGCGCCCCCAGCGGCACCAAACAAATTCTGTACCCCAGCTGCCTCTGCTCTGTCACCTAGCACCACACAGGGGATCCCCGCCCCCCATCGGCCTTCCACTTACAGGCGCCCGGGCTCTTCTCCCCACTTCTTTGTGACGCGAGGGGCCCCCGGGTGGCGCCCTAAGGCTGGCGGGTCACAAAGGCAACCGCGGGGGCGCTCAGTGCTCCGGGCATTTCAGGCTGCCTTAGGCTCGGGTCCTGCTGCTCCAACCCCAAGGACCCCCAGAAGCGAGCCCCGACACCTCCATCATTCCCCATGGCCAGCCAGCGCTGCCTCCCCGGAGCCCGGCGCCCCTCCGCCTGGAAGCCCCTGACGACGCACTTGCGAGATGTCCGCGTGGGCATCTGCGTGGCCATCCGGCGCAGCGACGGGCGGATCCACCTCGCTGAGGTCACAGAGTTCAGAAGAGAAAACACTTGGGTCACGGTAGAGTGGGTCGAAAAGGGAGTTAAAAAAGGCAAGAAGATTGACCTAGAGACTATATTCCTGCTGAATCCGGCGCTGGCCTCCGCTCCACGCGCCGCGCCGTCCAGGTCCTGGTCGTCCGGGTCCGTGTCTCTCGCGCCCTCTTCGGCCGTCGGGGACCAACGCGCGTCCACGCGGTGGATTGCAAGGATCCCCCCGAAAAACAAAACACCCTCAGGGGACAGCCTGGCCGTGAAAGTCCCCGGCAATCCTTGCCTGGTGAGATGGAAAAAATCTCCGTGCCTCCGGGAAATCGAGAAACTGCAAAAGCAGCGGGAAACCCGCAGGCGGCTGCAGCTGGACGCGCGAGCCCAGCGCACCCTGGACGCCCACGCGGGGAACACCGACCTCGAGGTCAGGCGCATGATCGAGGAGTACCGCAGGCACCTGGACGGCAGCCAGCTGTCCGGCCTGGAGCCGCGGGGGGACCATCGGATCTGCGTGTGCGTGAGGAAGCGGCCCCTCAACCAGCAAGAGGCCACCAGGAAGGACCTGGACATCATCACCATCCCCTCGGACAAGGTGGTCATGGTGCACGAGTTCAAGCAGAAGGTGGACCTCACTCGTTACCTGGAGAACCAGACCTTCTGCTTCGACCGCGCTTTCGACGACAGGGCCTCCAACGAGCTCGTGTACCAGTTCAGCGCGCGGCCGCTGGTGGAGCGCATCTTCCGCAAGGGCATGGCCACCTGCTTCGCCTACGGGCAGACGGGCAGCGGGAAGACGCACACCATGGGCGGGGCCTTTTCGGGGGAGCCCCGAGATCGCTCCAAAGGCATTTACGCGCTGGTGGCGCAGGACGTCTTCCTCCTGCTCCAGACCTCAGCTTATCAGAAGCTGGACCTCCAAGTCTACGGCACCTTCTTTGAGATTTACGGGGGCAAGGTCTATGACCTGTTGAACTGGAAGAAGCAGCTGCAGGTCCTGGAGGACGGCCATCAGCGAGTGCAGGTGGTCGGGCTGCGGGAGCAGGAGGTGTGCTGCGTGGAGGACCTGCTGCGCCTGGTGGAGCGGGGCAAGAGCTGCCGCACGTCGGGGCAGACGTCGGTCAACACGCACTCGTCCCGGAGCCACGCCGTGCTGCAGATCATCCTGAAGTCGCGAGGGAACCTGCACGGCAAGTTTTCCCTTGTTGACTTAGCGGGGAACGAGAGGGGAGCGGACACCGCCAAGGCCAACAGGAAAAGGCAGCTGGAAGGGGCGGACATCAACAAGAGCCTCCTTGCGCTCAAGGAGTGCATCCGGGCGCTGGGGCGCAACAAGCCCCACACCCCGTTCCGAGCCAGCAAGCTCACCCAGGTGCTGCGGGACTCCTTCATCGGCCACAACTCCTCCACGTGCATGATTGCCACCATCTCTCCGGGGATGTCCTCCTGTGAGAACACCCTCAACACTCTGAGATACGCAAATAGGGTGAAAGAGTTGACTCTCGATTTCAGGCCCCACCATCCTTGTCTCTCTCCGGCTGGATGCCAGGTGCCAAAGACGCTGGAGAACCCCATTAGAAATTCGGAAGTGTCCCTGCAGGGGGATGACTCTGTGCAAATACCACCTACCCAGAGCGAGAAGGAGGAAGAGCCTAGAGAAATGGAAACATCCTCTCCGTTACTGGAGGCCGCCCCGGCTTCCTGGGAGGAACCCGGCCAGTGGAGGCAGGAGGACATCCAGGAGACAGCTTACCGGGTAGACTATGACGTTCATTTTTGCATCGTCCAGCTATTGTCCACCTTGGAGCAGAAAATCGGTATTCTGACTGAACTGCAAAAGAAACTGAAATCATTACGAGCTGACCTGCAACAGAAGAGAAAGGTAGAGTGAAGCCAATGGCAATAGATCGGATCTGAAGTCATGGATACGGCGCTGCGGTTGCAACCTCTCTTATAAATAAAAGATTGCCTAAATTATCTAGACATAGAGATCCTTCTGACAAGCGTAGATCATCTTAAAGTGCTCATCAGAAATGTCCTCTTTCCTCTGTATTTCTGTAGTTTATTGTCATTCTGTAGGACAGTAGTTTTCAACTGGGAACCATTTTGCCTCCCAGGAATATTTGTCAATGTCTGAAAACATTTTCAGCTGCCAAAACTGGGTACGAGGGGAGTGGTGATCCCAGCATACAGTGGGTGGGCGGCCAAGGGTGCTGTTCAACATCCTACAATGTACCAGACATCCTCCAGCAACAAATAATTATCTGGTTAAAAATATCAATAGTAGCAAAGTTAAGAAACCCTGCTGTGGAAGAGCCTCGCTGCGAGGAAACCGGATACCCCAGATTTGTGGCTAGAGAGGCAAAATACTGCAGATTCAAGAGATGAGACTTGGAATATACCAAGGGGTACACAAGGCAGTAAATCTAATGGTAACGCTCATGGATCTTTTTCTGTTGCATTGATATGTAGATTCAAATGGTTTCTAAGCTCTAGCCATTTTGGGGGGTGGGATAGGGAGGAGTTTTTGTTCAGAGAGTGTGTGAGAGCCTAGAATTGAGAAATTGAGAGGGATTTGTATTTGTTATGTTTGCTTTGAAATGGCAAAGCACTGTGCATCCTGGGAGTGATCGTGCATGCGTGGGTGTGTGTGTGCTGCATAAGCATTGGCTTTGTTGACTGTGGTGTCTGTAAGCTTTTTCTTTGCTACTCTCTTTACCAAATTTTGCGTTTACAAGAGTCACATAAAAAGCCTTCACCCATCAAATTAAGACAGGGAAAAGGTCAGCAAAGCCACAATAGAAGAGTCTGACCTGAAGGGAAACACATCCTACAAAGGGCCTCACAGGGAATGTGAGAAATACCAATGCATGAGATCAATTCAATAAGGGGAGCACTTTCCTGATTCAGAGATCTATCCTTTCGCAAACAAAAAACATTAACCTGATATGTAAATATAAATACGATAACCTACTATACATCTGCCTTCAGCAAACATTTTTATTTATAAAATACCTTAATAAAATAATTAAGGATGTTTTGATTCCAAGCCTAGCAGTTCACCATATATTGGGGCCCCTTTACTGTTTACTACTCCTCACCTCATGAAATGTTTTTAATCTAAGTTATTTTTTATGCAATTAAAAGTATGGGGTTAAGAATCTTACCTGGGTTCCAGTCCCAATTCTGTTATATAAATATCTGTAATTTTAGGCATGTAGCTTAGCCCCACTGAGTTATTTCTTTCTATATGAATCATAATAATTATAGCATCTCCTTCAAAAGATTGGAAGGTGTTTTTATTTTCTCTCTCCTTCCCTCCCATCTGTTATGCCAATGGCTGGTGATTATTATTGTTTTTGTTATTGTCATTGTCCTGTTTTCTATCACCACCCCTAGCCCCCAGCTCTAGGCAATCACTAATCCGCTTTCTGTCACTAAAGCTCTCTGTAATTTTGACCCTTTATATCCTGGCTGCCTCTTTGTTCTTTGCTACCTTCTTAAACAGAAGTATTTTGGTACTTTATCCAACTTTATTGTGCCCTTAGTATGAAAGCTTGTTACCCTATTTGATAATAATACATCCATTGACATAAATAATGTAAATAATGATTTATGCATTTTATACACGACTTTGGAGACAAATACATGTTAACAAAATTTCTTATAAGTTCTAATCAATCTCAACCAAATTAAGAAGATTTTTGTTCTATGTTGAAATTTAGCAAGTAAGAGAGAACAGCATACCAACATAAGTAACTAATGGTACAAACTGTTGGAAAGTGGATCCAGAGACTCCAGGACAGTGCTGAATGCATTATTTGTTGCTTGGAGATAGATATATATGTATATTAGTTATTTAATGGATTTTTATTTAGTTTTTGCTTATCTGTTGCAGGTTTAGAAATTGAAGGAAGTTTCAAAAATTAAAGGAAAGTCCTGAGAGCAATTTAACTCCCAAATTTTTTCAACTCTTCCTTTGGAAGGGCTGTGTAGACAAATCTGTTTATGTTTGTGTGTGTGTGTATACACGCACAATTTTACGTACATAGTTACATATTTTTCTTATGGATTTTGACATCCACATCTGCATAACACAATTTAAAACCTCTCATTTAGTAAAAAACAAAAAAAAACAAAAAAAACTGCTGGCTTGCTAACTAGTTTAAGTATAATTGCTTCTGTCAAGTTGTCACTCTTCCTTTACAAATACACATGAATATTTCCATTGGTGTTCATTTTTTCTGAGAATATACATGGTACTTGACACGATCTCAAAACACATAGCATTAAATTTAATATGAACATTAGAAAATAAGATATTATGTAAATGGAACTCTCAGAAAATAAATTAATTGGGATCTACTAAAAGAGACTTGTTGACAGTTCACACAGATGCCCTGAAGTTTAATAGGGAAATTTAAAGTAAATTAATGCTTTAACAAGATTGTTCAGAAAATGTCAGAGCTTCTAAAGTGAGAAAAAAATACTTTCAGTACCTTGGAAATATTCACTTGTACACAAAAAGTTGACATACAAATTATATGCTATGCTTATCTGTTAATTAAAGTAGCTTTTCTCCATTTCTGTAGTGGACAAACTCATTTTGAATTGTTGCATGAACCTGCAATTAATAAAACTGCTTTTGAAATACTGAACTTAAGGTTTCATGATCTTAAATTCTTCTTCCCACAATTACTCTATGATACTAAGGTTTTACACTATTATTCTATTACTTTCTTCAATAAAGTTATCTTCAACAATCTACATAATAAAAAAGTATGAGAGTCCTAGATAAATATTTATGTGCTGGTTAAATAAATGAATTATTTTTCCTTGCAATTTAATTACTGATTAAAAATATCACTCTACTAGAAACACAGTTTCTAGCATGTACCTCTTAAGAAAAATGTCCAAATTGCCTGCTATTAAAAGTATAGAATATTATCTTCAAAGCAAACCTGTCATTTATGAAAAATTTGTACAACTCCTTTTATTCTTCAAAAGATCAACTACTGATAGGAAACCTTAAACATCATTTTTTTGCAATGTGATTTTTTTCTACTCAAGGCATTTCCTTTCTAATCTTAAAAAAAAAAAAAAAACAGTCTCAGAAATTAATAGAAAAAAAAAAAAAAGGCAGGATTTTAATGGTTTAAAGAAGATATTGTTTCAATAAATAATTGAAGATAAAAATTAGATGGACCCAGGCAGCCTTCTGTACTTGGGTATTTGAGGTGGCCGTGAACATGACGGAAGCCATCTACCAACACAAAAGCTTGAATAGTGACAGAGGAAATGAGTGAAATAATCTAGAAGGGGGCAGTGGGAGAAATCCTCAAAGCAACAAGTATGAAGAGTTTTACTCTGAAATAATTGAAAACAGAAGTTTTGGCATAGTGCCAGTTAATATGCCATGCTTAGGCGTATGATTTTCATGAGGCCAGTAAGGACAAAAAGACTAACTGGGCCACACCAGTGAATTCAAATTGTTAATCTTATACTATCTGGACATGGCTCCAAATGCTGAGTTGGAAACCAAAGGAGATAAGTGAGCAGCAATGCCAGATTTAGAGTCAAATATTTTGTACTTGATTTAGCTCTTTGCCACCTAGTAGCCATGTGACATCAAACAAGTAATTTGACCTTCTGTACTCATTATTTTCAAATCTGTTTTTAAACAGACTAATCTCACAGAGTGATTTAGGAAATCAACATAAAAGTTTCAATAAAATAAAATTGTATTAATGATCTTTTATGCTAAAGTTAGTAACATGGGTAGACAATTGCCCCTGCCTTAAGAAGTTTATTGTTTAAATGAGACAAAGCCTTGCACTACTGAGGAATATATAAAAAATGTGCTCTCTTGCTGTAAGAAGTGCTATGGGGATGTTGAAGTTGATGGTTCATTTAGCCAAAGGGACAGGGGAAATCTTCAGAAAAAAATGATCCATCCCTCAATCTGAAATCATGATGGAGCAATCCGTTGACCAAAAATAGATGGACAGTCATTCAAAGCAGTAAGTAGGCTGAATTCTTTGGTGTAAGTCAAGAAAAACCAGCCAGAAGTTGGCTCAACATTGTCTTTCTCAATAAAATGTAGGAACCTTGAGGGCAGGGACAATGTCTTCATTCATTGCATCATCAGAACCTCACACAATCCCTGACAGCTTATAGGTTGTCCACACTCGCGGGGATATTTATATTTTCCATCTGTTTCCCAGCTAGAGTAGGAAGAAAAGTACAACTGCCTTTGAAGTGTTTAAAATCTATTTTGAGAAGTCATGCTGCCCAATGGCAGAAACTAAAGTGTTCACATGGGCAGTTGTCACTGGTGAAGGCCCAGTCTTCAGCAGTTACCCGTGCTGGCCAAACAGTTGATCCAAGGAAGGGGTCATATCTTCACACTGACACCCACCTGGCCTCAGCTTTTCAACCTGACGTCCAGCAAGAAACTCCAAGGCACACCAGCTAGTCCTACTCATTTGTCTTAGCCACAGGGCTCCCCCAGGTCCTCTGGCATCCACTGTCACATCTCTGTCACAGTCAGCCCTGTGGGAAAACATTTGGTAGTTAGCTGCCACCGACCAGAGACCTGCCCTGAGGCCCTGGAGGTTTGAATTCAGCTATTACCGGGCCATGCGCCGCTCTTTCTACACTTGTAGAGGGTTTGTCATCTTCTGGGAACGCAACCAGGAACGCACGCGCGGGTCATCTCGCTCCTTTAGGATACGTACGGGGGGAGGACTCAGACAGCCTGTCCCATGACTACCCCTGTCTTAAGTCTGTCCTTTTGGATAGCCCTTGGGATCTTACTTGGACAGACAGGCAGGAAAAACTCTTTTGTATATGGAATAAACATTATGGCATGAGTTCTAGAAGGGCTTATAT